TGGACCTGGTGGGGTTGTGAGTGGCATTGTAGTTTCGGTGAGAGACTTTGTTGAACGTTAGTCTCCTTCCAGCTGTTTTATGATATTATATTGAGACTGGACGCTCCCCAGGACTTCTGAGAAATGGCAAATTTAATTTGCCAAAATAGCAACCGCACACATCGCTCTGTTCCAGTTTTCCTGGGCTTCGTGCCCTAGTTTTTTCTATTGAAACCTTTACTGTTAGCAGAATTTTAAATGACTCTATCCTGGCAACAGAGTGATTTTTGAGTAAACAACTTGGATAACGTGTGGTGTCCTGATTTGGAAGAGGTTAGGATTCAGGATTTCGTGGTGAGTTTGGAGTATTTTCCTAAGCCACTGTCAGAGCTTTTAGAAACCAGGAAAAAGCTGGAATTGAGCATTTAAAAGCAGTTTCCACTAGCCCCTTCTGAGAGGCAGGTGTTTAACCGGGAACCTGTGGACGCTGGGCCTGTCCTTACGTTCGGTCCGGCTGCGTGTGACGGACTCCAAAATATGTCGTTTTTAAACCAGGTGGTTGGTTATTTTCCTTTCTTATGAGAAGGTCTGAGGCGGCCCGGGCGGGGTGGCAGCTCCTGGGCCGGGGTCCTTCCTGCAGGGCTGCGCTGCACGCCCGCCCCTGCGGCCTCTGTGTTCCCGCTGCCCCACCACTCCTCTCCCAGGAGGTTTCCCGGGAGCTGCCTGCACACCTTCTGTGCTGTCCCCCAGCATGCCACAGGAGAGGCTGGAGGCTGGCAGGGAGGGCAGACTGGGGCAGGCGGCCCATGGTCTCTGGCATTAGTGAAGCCCTTGGAACTCTCTGTGCTTTTTCCTGGACAAGGGTCTATAGTGTTTTTTTGTTTTTTTAAGGTTCTGGAAGCAGTCTGTGACCCTAAAGTGTGTTAAATCCACCAAGGCCGAGGTCGGGTGGTGTTATCTAACTGAGCACTCCTGCTTTCCTTAGGAAGTTTGGCTCATCCTTTTAATATTATCTTTGCTTCTGGTTCTTTTTTTTTTTTTTTTTTTGAGACAGAGTCTCACTGTGTTGCCTGGGCTAGAGTGCCGTGGCGTTAGCCTAGCTCACAGCAACCTCCAACTCCTGGGCTCAAGCGATCCTTCTGCCTCAGCCTCCCAAGTAGCTGGGACTACAGGCATGCGCCACCATGCCCGGCTAATTTTTTTTTCTATGTATTTTTAGTTGTCCCGCTAATTTCTTTCTATTTTTAGTAGAGATGGGGTCTCGCTCTTGCTCAGGCTGGTCTCGAACTCCTGAGCTCAAACAATCCGCCCGCCTCGGCCTCCCAGAGAGCTAGGATTACAGGCGTGAGCCACCGCGCCCGGCCTGCTTCTGGTTCTTAATTTAGAAAAAACAAGACTGAGTTTATGGCGTATGTAGCTCTGATCTTCAGACTGACGAGCAGTTAAGCCGTACCGTGAGAGCCTCCTCGCAGGACACGGGTTTAGGGCCACCACACAGTCCTGTCCACTTGCTGGGCCTGGCGGGTCCTTCCGCGTCGGCTGATGACGTGGCTTCTGCCGGGCTCCCCCTGGAGCAGCCTGAGGTTGAAGGTTGAGACCTTGCCCACAGTTCATACCTAAGTATTTGTCCGATCATTTTACAAACGTGTATTTCTTTTTTATTTTTGAAAAGGTAATAAATCCACATGATAAAATGCAGACATTATAAAGGGTGAAAAGTGAGCAGTAATTTCCTCCTCATTCCTGTGCATTGGCAGTCCTAGCCCAGGAGTATTCTGTGCGTATCTTGCATATTTCTTAAAAGCAGCGTGTCACACACCCTGTTCTTCCTGTCAGCACTCACAGGATCCCATGTCTTCGGCTCACGTTTCTTTCCTTGAGTGTCTTAAATATGCTGATCCCGTTTTTCTGCTGTAGTTTGATAATCTAATTTTCTTTCCAATGTTGGTCGCCTCGTCTTTTGCCTGGACTTCGAAAGGAATTTTTTCTTTAAATAATAGTTCTGTTGTAATGTGTCTTGGTGTTGCTTATTCTGTTTTTGTTTTTTCTTTTTCTCCTAGGTTTGTGGTATACCTTTTAATAAGTAGTTTCAAGCCTCTCCCCGCCCCCGTTGTGGAGAGTTTTCTTGAATTATAGTTTTTAGTGTTTCGTCTTGTTGCTTCTAGTTTTCTTCTTCCAGGTCTCCTGTGATACCTGTGCTGGGCCTTCTCTGCTGCTTGTCCTTGGCCTCTTTTTATCCCTTCGTTTTGACTGAGTTCTGTCTTCTCATTTCTGAGTTTTTCTAATGCTGGTTTATGATAAATGATATCTTGTATCTTTAATGTATTTGAACTTGTTTTGAAATATTAGGCTGTAGTTTTCATCTTTTGGGGGGACTTGTTTTTCTAGCATGCTTTCGTTGTTTGAAGTGATGTCATCTTGTTCCATCTTTGTTTTATAGAGACGAGATTCTCACTCTGTAGCTGGGCTAGAGTGCAGTGGCATCATCACAGCTCACTGCAGCCTCAAACTCCTGGGCTCAGGTGATCCTCCTGCCTCAGCCTCCCAAGTAGCCGAGGCTATAGGCATGCACCACCACGCCCGGATAATTTTTTTCATTTTTTTTTTTCAGAGGTGGGGTCTTCGCTATGTTGCTAAGGCTGGTCTTAAACTCCTGGGCTTGAGTGATCCTTCTGCCTTGAATTCCTGAGTTGCTGGGATTATAGGCATGAACCACAGTGCCTGGCTTCTTATTTTCTTTTAAAATATATTATCTTTGCATGAGATTTGGCCTCAATATTCTCTATTGCTTATTTTTATATGAATTCAGAAGAGAGGCTTGATTTAGAATAGTTTTTCTAATTTCAGTGTTTTGGGGTTCTATCTTGTGGTTTTTTTTGTTTTGTTTTGTTTTGTTTTTAACCAAGTGTTGAAAATGTAGCATCTTATTTTCTGTGCTCTCCTGGCTCTGTTCTCTCCAACCTTCAATTAGCTTTTATTTTCCTTCCTTTCTAATTTCCATGCCCGGTATGTTTTGTTTTCTATTCCTAATAATTTTTTTCAGTGTATTTGGCCTTGAAGGGAGCTTTGGATGGTTAACATTGAGCATTGAGAGTTCTTGGCGTCCAGCGTATCCTAGGCCTTTGGACACTAGTACAGCTCCCCTTGTGTTCGCTCATGGCCGGCCTGTGCTGCGCCCACCGCTGGCCTGTCCTTTGCCCACGGCCGGCCTGTGCTGCGCCCACTGCTGGCCTGTCCTTTGCCCACGGCCAGCCCGTGTGTGCCCCTCCACTCAGCTGCTGTTCCCCTGGGCTCAGGGCTTCCCTCTGCTTCCTCCCTCGCACACACTCAGGCCACGATGGCCTCGGAGCTTTCAGTGGTTTGTGTCATTTGCTGGTGTCTGGGGTTGGTTAAGAGAGTATCTTTCCACCTAGTTCTGTTGTAGATGTCGACCTGACTTTAGTTTTGTGATCCTAGTAGCTCTGTGTGTTTTCTTGGAAGGATTTGGGGAGATTAAAAGTCTGTCACTGCCGTCTTTCCAGAGTTGGACTTCCAGAAGCTTCAGTCTTCGTACCTCTGAGGCCCTTTGTTTCCTCTGCCGGGTACCCAGCTCGCTTCTTTGTTAAGGACAATTGACATTTTTTTCCTCAATCTAATCTAATCTTATGTAAAGTTAGAAAGTGGGAATAAAGCCATCTTTGCCATTTTATCGATCATACATTAGATCATATATTTATGTAAAAATATTGTCTTTATAAAGGAAGATTTAAGACAGTGCTTGGCTCCCTCCTCCCCAAATTATTGTCCCCAAGAAATTCTGGAGCTGCTGCCATTTATACTGTAGAAATTTAAATATAGAGAAAGGAGAGGAGGAACCACATTATTTATAGGGTTTAAGAACATGTGTGGAGCCTGCTAATTTAATTTTATGCTTGTTGGAACTTATCCATTAACAGGAGTTGTCAGTAGACTCAGAGCTGAAACTGTATGACCTGAAAATCCCACTTTCCCCTGCCGTGGAGTCGGGTTTAAGGAAAGGACGGCAGGGAGGTGCTCGCGCCCGGGAGGAGCTTGCCGTGTGGCGCCAGGCGCGTGGTTTCTGCCCCTCTAGGAGTGCGTTGTGTGGTTTGGGAAAGACAAATGCATAATTTACTTTATAAGCTTTATTTATAAATAATTAAAATATAAAGTACAATATGATAAAAACATTACGGTGACATGGATTCGCAAGTTTTCCAAGACATCCTGTTTTCAAGTACTGCATTTAGATCTGTGCGTCGATAGACCACAGTTTGCCTGATGCGGCCTTATTTTTATTTTGGGAAGCAAGGTCTCTTGATGCCTAATCAAAGTGTCACGGGAGCTGGGAGAAAGTCACTGACTGTGTCCTAGACACTGCGCTAGGCTCAGGGACAGCCCTGCCGTGGCCTTGGTGCTGGGGTGGCGCTGCGGTCCAGGGCTGAGCCTGAGCGTGGAAAGGAAGCAAAGCAGGGACACTGCCAGGCCACCTGGGCTGCAGAACAGCAGAAAGGGAGTATGAGACGTGGCCCCCGTGGCGGGTCCACTTGGGAGAAACTTGGGAGGACGGTGAGTCGCTGCGGAGGCAGCAGTGTGACGCGTCTGGGGTGCTGGCTTTCTAGGCCGTGGGGAACGTAGCAGGGATCTAAGACCCCTGCGGGGAGCAGGAAACCACAGGACTTTGCTGCAGGTGGTCAGGGCCCCCCGGGGACCTTTGGTTTGGGGAGGACGTTTCCAAGCCCAGTTTAAGAGAGCGGCAGTGCAGGTGGGCCGGAAGTGAGAGGCCGTCGGGTGGGGGCTCGGTCAGTGGTCGAGGAGGGACATAGCGAGTGATGCTCGTGAGCTGTTTCTTAGTCCTCAAAGCACACGCACCTGTCGGTGGTTTGGGACGAGAAGACCCCATATCAGCAAACCCACAGACATTTATGTCATCCTGCATGTACGTACGTGGTGAGTGGTTTATGTCATTTCACGTGTCACGATTGTTAATCTTCCTTTCCTTTTCCCTGGCTTCCGTGCGGTAGGTGACGGGAGCCCAGCCCCGCTGTGAGTCGGACAGTGCGTGTGGACCGCCCCTCCTCCCGCTCTGGATGATGTCGGAGCACGACCTGGCGGACGTGGTCCAGATCGCGGTGGAAGACCTGAGCCCCGACCACCCAGGTACGGAGCTGTGGGACAGTAGGTGGAACCGCCTTCTCCTCATTCCCTAAAACCCCAAAGCCGCTCCAAGCGTTTTCTTTCCGTTAAATGACGCGGAAGAAAAGGGGATGCGTGTTCTGTGTGAAAACTCGAATCCAAGGGATGTGACGCCATCAGGCCCTCCCCGTCCCAGGAGTCCCAGATGTGGAGCCTCCAGCACCATCTCTCCCGAGGGCTGTCCCTGCTTTCGCGCCCTGACGCGCACACACACGCACTGCCGCGTGGGACCCCGCGCTCCTGGTGGCCTGCGGCTTTCTCCCCTGCCGCGTCCCCTGTGTAACTTAACACTGTGACGCGTCATGGAAGTCTTACCGTGCCGGTGTGTGCATCTACTTTTATTTTTTCAACAATCGCCCGGTATTCCGTTTCTCGGCGTACCCCAGCTGGTTGAAGCCTTCCCTTTTTAGACGACCCTTTGCACAGCTTGTATTGCTTTTCTTTTATATACAACCCTGTAGGAAAGAGCCTCGCACATGTATCTTGGCAAGTGTTATTGTAGGGTAAGTTCCCGGAAGTAGAATGCTGTACATGCTTAAGATTTTGGTAAGACACTACCATTTTCCAGAAATGTTTTATTAATTTATTCTTCCACTGACAATAGTTGAGAACAAGTTTTTTTTTTTTTTCCCACTTTTATTAAAGCTAGTAATCTTCTTTAACGATGTTAAAGGCACAAATCTACTTTGAAACCTCAACTAAGTATTTGTTTTAAGGACACCCTTTAGAACCGAAAACCTAAATTTCAGGAAGTTTATCTATGAAAACACCTGGTTAATAGTCACACTTATTATTCTAAAAAGATTTCCCTTTTTTGGCTTTAAAGTTGTATGTGTCTTATAGTTCTGTTAAGTTTGAAGTGACAGGTGCAGGCAGTGAAGTCACTGAGCGTTTGGTGGCCTGGTTGTTCTTTGAGGAATGTTAGAATTGAAATGCTGACATTTTTCCCCTCAGAAAACGGAATTTTCAGAACTCCCTTAAGAAAGTATGATGTCTTACTTGTATGATTTATTTGGTATGTTAATTGAGAAAACTGCATTTGGAGATTAGTTATGGTGTAGAAGGGGCGAGTAAGATAAATAATTTTAGAATTAAATGAACAATCACAAAGAAATATGCAGGGAGTATTTCAGGAATGCTATTCTTTAGTCAGTTTTCAACCTTATTTTGCTTCTGATTTGTGTATAAGGGTCACTATCACTGCGTGTAACAATTTCAAAATATCTGTTCATATTTTAGAAGGCGAGTGACAATTTCTTTAGAAAACACACACACTGCATTGATATAAAAGAAAAATGTTCCAATTACATAAATTCTAAGCATTTTAGAACTATTAAAATTCTAACAGCCTATCCCAAATAAATTCTCTGTTTGTAGACTATAGTCCAAAAAAGGAATCATTTCTAGTCTTTATTTCATTCCATCTCTGTTCCTGAAATGCCTGGGAATTACAGTTTCTTGACTGTTGACTAAAAACCTGCTGTGTGCAGAGTCTGAGGCCCGCCCAGACACACAGCCTGCGGTCTCTGCCCAAAGGGCACCAGCGCCTGGCAGATACCAGGGTGCATCACACACGTTGCGTTCAGAGTTGGTTTAGGAATTTTATGAAATTTAACGGTATAGTCAAGAAAGTAGAAGAAATAAAAGTTTTCCATAGTCCTCGTGGTGTAGCTGCTTTTAAATTCTTGGCATGTATGTATTTCCAGATTTTTCTTATTAATATTTCCACGTGGTTGTGCTTGTTTGAACGTGCGTGGTTTGTAACTGTGACCTGGCCTGGCATTCCAGTTGACTGCCACGGGAGTTCTTTTGTCTAACTCTATAAGTAATGTGTACAAAATTATAAAAAGCAACATGTACAAAAGGCAGCAAAGCACAAAGAAGAAAATAAGAGTCACTTGCAGTCCCACCGCCTGTAGCAAGGCAAAATCGCCTAGCCATAGTGATTTCATCCCACGTGGCTATGGCATGGGGCCATGCTTGCAAGTGCAGTGGGTGGTTTGCCAAGGCGTGTGAATATTTGCATTTCTGATTTTTTCTACCAAAAGTGATGTAGTAAACGTGCTCGTGTATATGTATGTTATATATGTACACATATATGATATGTATTCTTATATGCAGTGCTCATTTCTGTAGCATAGATTCACATACTGGTATTACTGTTAAAAAGCGAGCTAAAGCTGTTAACCCAGATGGTCCCAGCTACTCGGGAAGCCAAGGTGGGAGGATCCCTCGAGTCCAGGAGGTCTAGACCATCCTGGGCAACATAGGGAAGCCCCATCTCTAGAAAACATGGCAGCAGCAACAAAGCTGTTACTATTGACTTGGAGGGCATCTACACTTACTGCTAAGGGAAGGAAGGGTGTAGACAGAGCTATTTACTTGGAGGGCCGTTTACACTTCCTGCTAAGGGGAGGAAGGGTATAGACAGAGATATTCATTTGGAGGGCTGTCCACACTTCCTGCTAAGGGGAGGAAGGGTGTAGACAGAGCTATTCACTTGGAGGGCCGTCCACACTTACTGCTAAGGGAAGGAAGGGTGTAGACAGAGCTATTCACTTGGAGGGCCGTTTATACTTCCTGCTAAGGGGAGGAAGGGTGCAGACAGAGCTGTTGGTGATGCTCCTGCCCCTCCCACACAGACGTGTGCTCACGTGTGCGCCCGTGGAAGCAGGTAGGAAACACACCAGACAGTTCACACTGGTTATTTCAGGCCAGGAGATGAGAAGGAAAAAATACTATAGCGAAATGAGAAAATACTCATGACATCATGTTCAGCAAAAATCGTCCACTGTAAAATTCTATCTGTAATTGCAAATATGTAAATTTTTAAAGATGAGCTAGGCCTGGGGAAGAGGACTGGAAGTGTCACAGGCAAATAGAAATGCGGTTTGCAGACATGAGGCGATTGCGGACAGTTCTGTCTGTGATTTTTGTGGTTACCTTCAATACTGGTTTTGTAGCAATTTTAGACAAAAGAGAGGAGGTTGGGGCCGTTGGTGGCAGGGCTCGGATCTGGGCCTAGGAGCTTGTCCTCAGGGAAGCCCTGGGGGCCCCTGAGGTTGCTGCTGGGTGGGGGCACCGGACTTCAGCTGTCGGGGGGAGCGGGGGAGAGGCTTCTGTGCAAGTTAGTGTGTTGGGTTGGAGACTATTGGGATTATCAACACCCATGAAAGCGGGATGTTCAGAAGGTAGTTTTGATTTTGAAATGAGGAAGCCAACAGACAAGACTTTATTTTGAAGTTGGGGAGAAAGCATTATCATTGGTGGGGTTGATCGCACTAAAACCAACAGGGTGGCCTTGAGCGAGACGGCTGTGGTTTCGTGTTCGGGCGGACGCAGCGGCACATTAGGGAAATAATTTATCTGGTATCTCGGTTTTTCCTGGGATTAAGGAAACATCCTATTTTCTACCTGAATTTTAAGTTTAAATTGTAAAAAGGCAAAATGTGAAATAGATAGTACCATTTCTCATTTCACCTTAAGGTGTCAGTGCCGTTTACCGTCTTAATGTTAAAGAATTCTATAAAGCTTTCCACGTGAAAGTTCAAGTTTCTGTCTGTCGCTGATTTCAGTTGTTCTGGAGAATCACGTGGTGACAGATGAGGACGAGCCGGCTCTGAAACGCCAGCGGCTGGAAATCAACTGCCAGGACCCGTCCATAAAGGTAGGGGGGGCCGAGGGTCTCGCGGGATGGAGTTGTCTTCCTCTCCAGGCTGCTGTGACCAGTCACCGTGAACCGGTGGCTGAAAACAGACATTTACCCTCTCACGATGCTGGAGGCCGGAAGTCCGACACGGAGGTGGCGGCAGGGCCGCGCTCCCTGCAACGGTTCCAGGGGAGGCTCCTTCTGCCCCTTCCAGCTCTGGTGGCTCCAGGTGCCCCCTGGCTCGTGACTGCGGCGCCCTGTCTCTGTCTCACCTTCATACGGCCTCCTCCTCCTTCAGTCTGTGTCTTTCTTTCCCCTTCTCTCTTGCTCTTTTTTTTTTTTTTTTCCTGAGATAGGATCTCGCTCTGTTGCCCAGGCTGGAGGGCAGTGGCCTCATCACAGCTCACTGCAGCCTTGAACTCCTGGGCTCAAGCAATCCTTCCACCTTAGCCTCCCGAGTAGCTGGGACTATAAGTGCGTGCCACCATGCCCGGCTGACCTTTTTTCTATTTTCTATAGAGACGGGTCTCACTCTTGCTCCAGCTGGTCTTGAACTGGCCTCCAGCGATCCTCCTGCCTCAGCCTCCCAGAGCACTGGGATTACAGATGTGAGCCACCACGCCTGGCCCCTCTTCTCTTAAAAGGACTTGCTGTTGGATTTAGGGCCCACCCTAATCTGGGATGATCTCACTGACTTATTGACAATCTGCAAAGACCCTTTTTCCAAATAAGCCATATTTATAAGTTCCAGCGGTGAGGATGTGGTTACATAATAACATTTTGTGAATCACCAGGGAACTGACCATATAAGAGCATAAGCCATTGTTTCCCCTTGAAGATTGTGAAGAATAAACATGGTTTCGATTGAGTTTGCTGCCACATGTGAGGCGTCTTCCTATAGACCTAGAGGCCTATTTTGGACGGCAGGAAAGTGAACAATTACTGTGGCTATATTTTCCCCAAGTGATGAATTACTTCTGTGCCCATCATTAAGGTCGCCTGAGTTCTGAAATTTACTAGATGGGCTTGGAAACCACTCAAGTCAGTCATTTTTGGGTCCTTGAATTTTCTTGTTTGGTTCCAATGTTTGCAGAGTCGCGGAGGTAAATCAGCACACGTGAAAAGTTTGTGAGAGCAACACAGATGAAAGTCAAAGTCACTTTACATATATTTCCTCTGTTTATACGGGCTGTCTGTTTAGAAATCCTCAATTCATTTTGTTAACAACGAGAAGCCGTGTTATACACAGGCGATTTAAACTATATTCTCACTAAAATTTCTATTGCAGACCGAAGGATAGATAGCCACTAGAAGGTGGCTGCCTTAGTAACAGCACGTGATTGTATCTTAAAATAAAATGCAGTTATAATTTTATCACAAAAGACACAGTCATTATAAACAACACAGAAATGTAGAAGGTGAGAATGAAAGTGGCCCCGCCCTGGTTCCCACTCCACTGTCGGTGGACGTCGGGCTTTGGTTCGAGCCCTGCCGCACACGTACGCTCATGTGTGCGGTGTAACAATGGTTACTCACCAAATGGCCAGGACCTCCTTAACAAGTAGCCGTGGGTGGTTTATGGGTAATATCACTTGTAGAGAAGACTTATATAAAAATACTAGGTGAGGTGGCTCATGCCTGTAACCGCAGGACTTTGGGAGGCTGAGGTGGGAGGATCACTTGAGGCCAGGAGTTTGGAGGCCAACATAGTGAGCAGCTCACTATGCTCACTGAGCAATGTAGTGAGACCCTGTCTCTACCAAAAAAAAAAAAAAAAAAAAAAAGCCGGGTGTGGTAGCACAGGCCTGTAGTCCCAGCTGCTCGGGAGGCTGAGCCCAGAAATTGAAGGTCACAGTGAGCTGCGATGATGCCACTGCACTGGGCGACAGAGCAAGAGACTGTCGCTCAAAAAAAAAAAAAAACCAAGTTGAATTTTAAGAGGCCAATAAAAAAGTAAAAATAAAAATACTATTCCCCACTCTTTCTTCTTCATTATTAATTTCTTTGGTGAGTTGTTTAATTAGTATGTAATAGAGATTTTCACCCAAACCCTGCCAGGCAGAATCATTTCTAATTCAGAGTTAAAGTGATGTTGTTTTACTGTGTTTAAAGAATTCAAGAGCCAAACGTTGGATATTTTCAAGTTATAAAAAAAATTCAGGCTTCCCCAAGTGCGTGCATCAGCCGCACCGTGGACGCGGCCTCTCGTGGCCCCGAGGTGGCCGAGCACCAGCCTGTGCGTGTGGGTCCACCTAGCACGTGTCGGCTCTTCCTCTCTTACCGCTTCGTAGTTGAGGGCAGTTAGCAGAGGAGGGTGGATTTGAGTTCGTGTCCTCAGCCGTCTCCTCCGCGTGTTCGCGCTGCTGTGAAGAGCCTCGCTGAGAGAAGGGGCTGCCGAGGCAGAGTGAGTGTTCGGGTGGGCGCGGGTTTTCCTACCCCCGCGTGGCCCTGCTGCCCAGAACGCCAGGAAGGCTCACACGTGCGTTTAGGTGCTTCATGAGATGGGCTCAGCCTGCTGCAAATGCACACAGAAGAGCATTCATTTTCTTCTTCACCCACATTTAGATGCCAGCGACGAGATAGGATGCGAGGTATCGCTGTGGTTTCGTGCCCTGCAGATGCCCGTCAGGGTGGGGAGATGGGCCGTAAGCAGCGCGGGCGTCAGCTGGGGTCGGATGTGGGCCGACGCGCTCCCGCCTGTGCCTTGAGCGCCACGGCCAGCTCTGGGTCGCTCCCGGGTGCCACGCCTGGGCCCGTGTCCTTCCTTCTGATGTGTCCACCTTGGGCGCTGTGCTCTTATGTCCAGGGCAGAAAAGGAGAAGGAAAAGACGTTCTTCGTGGTTTTCAGATGTTGCCTCTCCAGTCAGGTGCTGGGCTCGGCGTGCCGCCCAGCAGGGCTGGTGGTGCTGTCCCGATCTGCCCCTCAGCAGCACTGAGACCGTCTCAGCTGGGGGGGCCTGGGGAGGGTATCTCTGCTGCACACTAGGACTCCTACGTGACTGAGCTGTTTCCACGGGTGCTCCTGGCAGGGACGGCAGCTGGGGAAGAGAAGCACTTGCCTGTGTGGTTTGCGTGTTTGGTCAGGTGCTTGGGTTAGGAGCCCTGCGTGCCTCTCACTACTCACAGCCACTGCCTGGGCTCAGGAGCCGGGACTAGACGCCGCCGGTCATCAGCCGTGCCACTGCGCGGCCGCTAGGGGGCAGGCTGGCTGTTCAGGAGCGCACGGCGCCAGGTGTCAGAGTCAGGGCACACGTACGGGATCGGCTCTTCTCTGCAGGGAAGCTGGGTCTGACACGAACATGCATGGCCGGTGCGGGTTTTCGTCTGCTTTGCTGTTAGGTGTAATCCTCATCGTTAGAAAGATTTGACTAGTTTTATGTAAATTTACCGATCAATATAATAACATATGAAAGACGACGTAAGTTTTTTATTACGTGGGCTTAACTAAAAATCACAACTGTGCATACAAGTAAAACCGTGGTTAAGTGGTCACATTGTACAATACAAAATGTGACTTGTATTTGAAATGCGAACTTGTTTACTCAAATGTTTCTGGCTTATAACTAAAGAGCTAGTTGCAGTGTAGGGATTGTTTTATTGGAACAGATACAATTAAGATTGGGAAGTAGCTATCCGGGGTTTCTTGGAATTATCCCCTTAAAGTTGGAGGCGCCCTTTCTAAAGTGCTCCTTCCTTCACTTCCAGTCATTCCTGTACTCCATTAACCAGACCATCTGCCTGCGGCTGGACAGCATCGAAGCCAAGCTGCAGGCTCTGGAGGCGACTTGCAAGTCGCTGGAGGAGAAGCTGGACCTGGTCACCAACAAGCAGCACAGCCCCATCCAGGTCCCCATGGTGGCCGGCTCCCCCCTCGGCGCGACCCAGACGTGCAACAAAGTGCGATGGTAAGAACGGGCCGGGGCAGGGTGCCCGGCAGAGCCCCGTCTCGCCCGCTGGCCGGCGCGGTCCCTCCGCTTGCCGTGGACGCGAGGGCTCTGCCTCGGCAGTTGCGTGGCGCTGGTTTTACTTAGACCGAAACTAAACACGTGACGTCCTGCGGCATAACTTGAAGCCATCCTCGCATTCTCTCTGTGACGTGAGCCAGGCCGAGGCGTCTTTTCTGTGGCACTAACCCACCCGGTCTTCGAAGATGCGCTTTTGCTGCTTTTCTTCTCCTGCTCCGTCCGGCTAACCTTTAGATACGTTCTCTTCCCGTGTGGCGTGTATGAGTTTCACTCGGGCATATCACACTTTCCATTCAGGTCTGCAGTTTTCATTGCGTTTATTCTTTTAAAAAAATTTAGAGCCGTGGTCCCCAACCCTCAGGCCAAGGACGTGGTGCCGTTTTGTGGAAAAATTGTCTTCCGTGAATCTTAGAAACGGGGCAGGGTGGGGGGCACAGCAGGTGAGCGGTGGGCAGCGAGGGAAGCTTCCTCTGCATTTACAGCCACTCCCCGTTGCACGCGTCACCGCCTGAGTCCCCCAGCCCCGTCCGTGGAAAAATTGTCTTCTATGAAACCGGTCCCTGGTGCCAGAAAGGCTGGGGACCGCTGGCTTAGAGTCCAACCTAGAGAGATACGCGGTGGTGTGTGCACTGTCTGAACAGAAACCTGGCGGATAGTCGGTGGATGGGAACTCGGACCTGCTCGTGTGTCGCTCGTCGGGGCACCGTGCCAGCGCCCCTAGCTCGAGGGTCAGCTGAAGCCCAGGCTCTAGGGGCAGCTGCCATCAGTCCTGTTGGGCTTTTTGCCGTTCGCACAACTGGCCCAGGAGAAGTCCTACTCGTGGCAGCAGACAAGCGTGTCTTTGTGTTTGCCGAGAGCCTGAGGCGCTTTTACTGCGGGCTGTTCCCTGGGGTTCCCTGGCGCAACCGCAGCCCCTGCCCCGTGTGTCTGTGGGGAGCGAGGACGGTGGGCAGCAGGAGGCTGGGGGTGCAGAGGAGTGGGGGCCCCAGCAAGCCTGGGAGGACCGCTGTGGCCTGGCCGCCACCGTCTGAGGAGGCTGCCGGTGCCACCTGCCTGTCTGTGCTGGTGGCTGGAGCGGTGTTAGGTGCTTTGTGGACTTTACCTGGGACTGTGGGAAGGGAGAGGAGGGTTCGTTCCTTCGCCGGTTAGTTTTGGGGTGCTCACGAACACGCCCCAGCATCACTGTGGCCACCTGCCCTGGTTTGTCTGGGACAGCTCCAGGTGGTGCCAGCTGTGCCGGTGCGATCACTGGCGCCTCCTTTAACTCTCAGAAGTGCCCGGTGTGTCTGGTCACTCCCAGTCCCCTCCCCAGTCCCTAGCTGGTGGTGCTGGAACCGGCACTCGCAGTCCATAGAGGGGAGGTGGGTTGCTCATGGCGTCCCCTGGGACGGGCCTTTACGCTGCGTCTATACGGTCACTAGCGTGCTTTCTCCCGCAAGTGTGTGTGGGTCGTTTCTCCATGCGGGTGCTCTGCCAGGCTCTGCGGCAGTGGTGTGCAAGCCTGTCACACCCAATGCCTTTTTTTTCCGGGGTAATTTTTTTTTTGTAATGCCCCTTTATCCTAAAATGCAATGTTTAGCAAATATAGTTTAAAATTAGTAGACTGCCCCAAGTGTACTGTAGTAGAGAAATATGACAGTGGCGTGTAATGAACTAGTCATTCCCAGTGACAAGCCAGGTGCCACCCCCAGACCTTGGAGGGCGGTCCCTGCAGACCGACCTGGGCATCCCCCTGGGACTCAGACGCCCGTTGTCACAGACTGTTACAAAAGGATGAGCAATCCCTAAGGAAGTTTCAAATAAAGCAAAGTATGATTTTTCTGGACTTGCATAATGGTTGAATTCCTGGAAAATTCGAGTCATATGAGGAGTATGCACAAGTGTTTAGTGTGTGAACGTTGCATGCAGTGAGATCCCGGGTTCGGAGAGCCGGAGGCGTGTTTTCCACTCAGGACGTCTGGGACCTGGGAAGTTCGTGCGGGAGGATCTGTGCGGGGCAAGGCCGACTCCTGCAAAGAAGGCGTCAGCCTCCGCGGCCTGTAACGACCAGACTCTGCCGGTGTCTCTTAGCCACGACAGCCACCTATGTCCCCCGGGGGCTCGCGGCACCCCGACACCTCCACTGAGAACCCCTGCTCTCAGGAATAAAATGAAAGGACGGATGACGCTTCCTGCCCAAAGAAGCCCTGTGTGCCTAAGGATGGTCACCTGTCACTTGTCACCTCTGTGCTGGTGGTGGACAGGCCATCTCTGTGAGTTAGAGAAAGCGTTGACGTGGTCTCTCTGTTTAGGTTCCACCACTGGTAGTTTGTGACAGTTTTGTGGCCAGGAGAAAGGACTCGCTGTGGGTGAGGGGGGCTCTGGAAACTGGAGAGTGGGCGTCAGTGTGGCTTGGGCCTGGAGAAGGCCCAGCTTGGAATTTCATCTGCACGAGAGGCACTCAGGCCTCGGGGCATCGCAGTTCCCCGACTGGCACTGTGGGGTGACCGTGGCGGGCTATGCGGCCATTTCAGTCTGAGTTTCCAGCCTCCTCGTCTTTGAAGAGGGGATGAGCAGAGGAGGGCCTGGGTCTGCGCCAGGGCTGCCTTCGTGCCGGGCTTCTCACACCGCCGATCATCACGGAAGCAGGCAGGCTGGGGCCAGAGGGTGGCACCACTGAGCCTGAGTGTGTCCCCCCTGACCGCTGTGCCAGTTCCTGTGTGATGCCGACAGAGCTGCTCGCTTGGGTGTCGGCATCTCCAGGCTGCAGGGAGCCGCCGCCCTTCGTTGTGTGCAGGGATCACAGGGCCAGCTGGCGACGTCGCGAGCCGCTCTCGGGGTCAGAAGTTCCACCACGCTTCCCTCTGCCGGGGGAGATCTTACCACCTGGAGACCCGCCATGGTTTTCTCTGTGTTAACAAGTAGTAGAATAAAAGGAAAGTTTTCTAATATTGACCCAGATGTGTAATCTTGTTAACCCAAATTAATTTTTCTGGTTTTAAAGAATTATATTGGAAAGGTAAAAATCAGTCTGTTATAGAATATACGTTTATTGTATATCGGCATGGAGTTTATTAGTATTGCTAATAAAACCATTATTTATAAAAATTAATGTAAGATTATCGGAAGAACCATTCCTCCATTTTCTCAGAGTTTTAAATATTAATATATTCCCATAGCAAAGTTTTAAATATGATGTATTGAATGACTTAAAGAAGGTACTAAATCTGGCATTTCTTTCCATATAAGTTCTGAAAATGAGAAATAAAAATTGCCAACAGTTGAAAGCTGTTACAAGAAATTGTAGGGAGAGAGAGTGCGTAAGAACTTAATCCCAGTACATCAAGGAAAATATGTATATCTAACTTAGAAATTTACTGATTTGTAAACACGTATGAGTGAATAAGTGTCTAAAATGTGAGCAGTGGAACATGGAAAAGGAAAAGTCTCCCCAAAGAGTTAAAAATAGGTTAGTGTTCTGAGTAGTAAGTTAGTATTTCTACGAATTATTTATTCTGGGCCTCAGATCTTCAAGATAAAGTTCAGAAGTATGCAAGTTACAGATAGTCTTATGTCCAAATCCCATGCTCTTAAAAACAACTGAAGATGCCCCAGGCCCGCCCTTCTCTGGGTGTGCGCGACTCGTTGCGCTCCGCGTGCAATCCCGCGGAACAAACGCCGGCACCTTGACGAGGCCTCCGGAGAGCGGGGGAAGCGTCCCCTGAGGGGCCCCTCGCCCTTCCCGTGGGGGTGCACCTGCTGAGAGCCGGCCCGGCCGCACGGACACAGCCACGGCCTCGCTGTCGTGGAAATCTACCCGCCTGTCGGCTGTTTCTCATTAAAACCGGGGAGGGTCCGTGCTGTCGATGCCGAGGGCTGCTCGTCTGTTCTCCTCACTCCCTGGAACACGAATGCGGTGGAGGACCGCCAGCCTCCCTTGGTATTTTGGTCTAGATTTTCAGATTCTACACCTGAATGGGATTCTTTAAATAAATTCAAGAGAAAAGAAAAGAAAAAAGAAATCCCTTTTTCTTTGAAGCCGAAGTTAAATCATTGTGATTAAAATATTTGTGAGATTACTTGGATGGGTTTCCTCCAACAGCAGCCGTCTACTTGGGGACAAGAAAAATGGACTTTTAGTTCTTTTAGGTAGATGCTTTTTTTCTTCCTGCAGGTGTGCGATACCTTTGGATGCTGCTCGACCGTAATTTTAGGTGTAGTGACAGAGGTTTTGACTTTGAAGCTGTTCGGCAGCTGCCGAAGCACCCATGTCACGCTGTGCAGCCTCTGTCGAGCGGCCCGTCCTCCGAGTGCTGGGTCGTGAGCAGTTCAGTACGGGCAGGTGTTCTGCTGCGTGGCCCAAGGGGCCAGGCATGTGCAGGTACATTATACAGGTAAACGTGAAAATCCTTTCATTACACTTCCTCGAAGCTAGACACAGGGCAGCAGTGCGAGTCAGAGGTGGCTGACGTGGGTGCAGACCAGGGTGGCGGTGGCATGAGTGCCGGGACCTGGCGGGCGCATCTGCTTGGCTGGCAGCGTGCCGTGGAGCCAGACTGCCCGAGAGCACAGAGGGCAACTCAACACGGGTGTTTCTGCCGTGCTTTCCTTGACTGAACGTACTAACAGGAAAAATGCTGGTGTTTCCTGTTTTTGAAAGCTTTAGCATGTTTCTACAATTTTATAACAATCGTAATAAATCAGAGGCTTCTTTGTAATATTAATTCTCAAAGTGAAAAATAAAAGTGGTTTCTTCTAAAACTCCTCTTTCAGAAAGATGTGTCATGTAAGACTTATAGAGTGGAAGATGTTTTCCTTCTTTCTCTCAAAACTGTTAACACACAGAGAACTGACAGATTTGATCAAGAAATGGTTTACGTTCCCTCTATTTTTATTTCCTAGGGGGTCTTTTGTTTTAAATGCTGATGGATGTTTGCCGAGAGGCTATTCCAGTGTTCCGT